ATATATTTTCTCTTATACGCATTTGACTTTCAATTCTGTTCACTTTCAATTCAGGTATTTATATTTATTTATGAAAAATATGAACATGCATTTCTGAGAATTAACAAAATAAAATAAAACCTAGAAACATAAAACATCTTAGTTGGTCTGGGAGAACCAAGTGTCATAGGTATAGAATAACTTATGCTTTCCAATTTTCACCTTTTGGAGGCCACACAGTTCAGTATTGTGTTTGAGAAAAATAATTCCAAAGTCAAACAATCATAATATTAGGGTAAATAACATCATTTAACCTAAATCTTTCCCAGGGTAAGCGCAACATCAAAGATATGGCCTGTTTAAAGACAATTGCCCTCAAATGGAAGCTGTATGATCAACATCAAAAAGTTTGGGTTTTTTCCTCAAGTGATCAACCTGTAAATGGGAAGAGGGGCAACATGTTTAGTGGCAAACATGCTAAATAACTGCTTCACCATTTCCCAAGTATTTACTGACCACCGGAATGGACACATCCGCCTGTCCATAGTTAAGTAAAGCATGTTTCACTCAAAGAAAGCAAGTTTGGTGATCTTTGTAGGTTTTCAAATTTCCTTCGTCTTGGAAAACGTGATTGACAAAGGAAGTGTCAAAAAGATGAAAGAACTACCTGGATATAAACTGTATCTGGACAACCTTTTTTCAAGATTAATCCATTGGAGGAAGTGCCAGGTCTTGGTTAACGGGATAGTCGATGTCCTAGGCTATTGATGAAGGCCATAAATGTATGCTCATTATTCTTGTTCTGTCAACAGCTTTTGACATCCCTGTATGACTAATCATAGATCAACCACGGAGAAATATAAAGTAAATGACTCCCTTTCCCTAAAGTTCAGAAACGCAAGATGCCTAGAAATTGAATTTCTTGACAATTTTGTACTTTTGCTGTTCTTTCTCAAGAACTGTGGGATAATTGATGCTAAACAGACCTATGAATACTTGGTGTGTTTTGTGTGTGTGTGTGTGTGTGTGTGTGTAAAATAAGATGGCATAATGAGGTTCTATATGACACTCTAATTTATATTAGAAAAAAATACATTTTAGAAAAAAGCAATTTTATCATGTACAAATTTAATGTCCATGTTTCTGTATCTGTTCCGTTTGTATCAGTGGTATAATGTTTCCCTTAGAAAGGTGAAACCTGTGCTTAATAAGGAGAAAACAATTACTTCATAAAAAATACAAAGCCAGAACTCTGCTAACATTCAACTATCTACGTGTAGTATAGAAGTGTTTGTGTGTAGCTATCCTAACATTTCTATCCCCTCTTCTAGCATGACAAGTAGGAGGTAAACAAAAATTTAAAATAGAAACTCCGACTTCTCGTTTGGCCATCCCTTCTGCCAGCTCTCCTGTTTACTAGTAGCTTCTGGTCTCCAGAGAATCTGACCAGCATTGGTTTCCAAAAGCCTATGCCTTTAAGGCAGCAGCTCTTCCCCAAAGGCAATTTTGCCCCCAGGGGCATTTGGCGAGATCTGGAAACAATTTTTTATGGTCTATGGGGTTGTGACTGGCACCTAGTGGGCAGAGGCCAGGAATGCTGCTCAACATCCTACACAGTACACAGGACAGCCCCACAACGACAGCATATCCAGCCCAAAATGTCAATAGTGATGAAGCTGAAAAACCCAGTGCATGAGCCACAGTGAGGACTCTGTGAAAAGACAAAACAAATGAAAGGAAAATCATTAGAGGGTTGACCACTCCCCTGCCACAGTCTAGAAACCAATCCATTTGGGTAGAAAGGGAGACAGGACAAATAGGAGGAAGCAAATTGGACAGAGATAGCCTTGGAGTTCCGAGGTGAAGTGTCCTCCCTCCATCTCCTTCCCTGTCTGCCAGGTTGGGGTATCAGAAAGAGAGAGGATGGTTGTGTGTTTTGTGCAGTCAGATAGGATCACAAGGAGATGATGATTACCATGCCTCAGCACAGAAGCAACAAAAAGGTATGGGTTACCCAGGCCTGGTTTGGAACAAGTTTAGAGAATGCCATTTCTAAAAGGGACTTGTGGATGGGAACGAGAGATACCTCAGAGGCTACCTGTGTGAGCCAGTGACTGAGGATTAAATGGGATCCTACCTGAGTACCTAGGTACCTATGTATCCTCCATCATGGATACAACCCTGGAGAAGGGGAGTTGACAAAATTGGCTTTCCCCTGGTCCCAGGTAAGGGAGGCTGAAGCAAATTTGATTTATTAAGTGTATGGCTTACATTTCAGAGACTGTGGTCTGAGATTAGTGCATGCTGCAAGTAGAAGTTCTTATCCAAATTGTCCAAATAAATTTTAAATATGTGTCTTTCTTAACTCAATCAAAAACAATTTTATTTTTCATTCTGTTACATTGTATTAGAACAGGTATTAAACCTTCAAAGTGATATGGTGTTTGATTTTGTGGTCCCTCCTCTTCCATCGCCAAAAGGATTTTGTAATTCTACTTTGTGTGTGTGTGTGTGTGTGTGTTTGTGTGTGTGTGTGTGTGTGTATACCAGGGCCTAGTGACATAACTGAAGACCATCTAGTGGGTTTAAAACCAGGGCTAACTGAGTATAAAATATCTGGTTCAAACACATTTCAAATACCAAATTGTCATAATATTAAAGAAAACTTAGTTGTAAAAAAAAGTCATTATCTGGTGTGACAAGCATAGCTTTTGAGTATTTGGTCTGGCTGGTCTTAAAAAATAATAAAAAAAGAAATGCAAGATTATGTAACAGCCCATCACAGACACCTTTGTTAACTAAAGTCAGTATTATCTTTCAAGGGTGTCACAGTTCTATTGATTTGAGTCCTCACCCAGAAACCTAGGGAATTTACCCAACTGTTCATCAAGAATTCTGGACACCATTATCAAAGGAGAAGGACGTGTGTTGACAGAGGAACACCTGCTGCCAGCCCGGCAGCAATCCAATGTTTGTGCACCAACCCAAAGCGAGAGGAAGGCTTTGTTTCCACAGCACATCTACTCCACTGTCCTCTTTGGGGGCAGGCTGCTCCTGTGGGTGGGGTGGGTCTTGTCTCTCTCTTTCAGGTACCAATTTGTTTATTTGCTTTCTCTAAACTGTTCTGTGAATCCTTTTCTCTCATTGGAGACTAAATGTTAAGAAGAAAACCTGGAAATTCTCTTCTTTCCTCAGTAAGGATAATTACTTATCAGACAGTCCTTGTTACTATACTCACCTGCCATAAATACAAGTTGACTTGGGGCTAACTAACAGTGACATCTACTCTGGTTTCCTTCCAACAAACTTATATCAGGATTGGGTATCCTTCCCCAAAGCATCACTGCTTATGGCTAACTCTTTGATAATGCTCCCGTTTACTTCTTGAGGCACTGGGACATATTATATAAATTAAATGAGTAAAAACATTACCCTGTTATAAAGATATTTCTTGGAGTTCAGAAATAACAAATCTCATCAGAGTTCAAAGGTACGTAAAACCATTTCTAATCTACAGGTTAATCTCTTCTTCATTGATAATATTTTATCTTCCCAAACAGCCTGGAATTGCTGGAAATGTGTCATGTTTTCTTCTCTCAGATTACATAGAAATTGCTTTACTCTTTATTTTGGAACTCATTCCCATCTTTGACATGTCAAAGTGAAAGAGATTAAAGTTATTCCTGATCTGCATAGAACTTTATCTAGCATTAGCCTCAGCCTTTACAGAAATTGTCTTCCCAGCTGGAAGTCACCATTATTTTACAATAGTGGTATCATCATAAAATGTCCTTTGTAGAGGAAAAGAATGTTAGAAGGATCTTAAATAGACACTCAGGAGAAATATTACGACACATAGGAGGAGATAATATTGAGCAGAAGCTTCACAATTGTCTTTGTAGTTCTGACGATTTATTACAGTTAAATACTTACATCATTCTTCTATAAAGACAACGCCAAGGGAAAGAAAGGTCAAAATTTATCAGGAAGGACCACAGTACCAGAAGTAAAATTATTGGCAGCATGATGTAATGAATGGAACATGGATTTTAATATAACATATTCATTTTAACATACTCATTAATAGAATCCCTAATATATCAATATCATTATTTCATCTTAAATAAAAAATTTATTTCACATTTCTTATGTAAAATAGTGGTGCAGGATTTTTGTATGAATTAAATGAGAGAAGTATATTCACGCACTTAGCACAATAACCACTTGCAGTACAATCTCAGCTATGCTGGTTTTCTATCCTACTTTCCTGGTCCTTGGTTGATTTAAATGGCCTTCTAATTTTTTGACCCAGAGTTGTTGACATTCACCTGAGTCTGACCATAATCCCAGACCTACAGAATAGTTTTGATATTTGAGATGAACAACAACAACAAAAAGCTTCCAGTCATCTGCAGCTATGTGAACAGGTATTTCTGTGACTCAGTGCCAGTACAAAAGCTATATAGTTCAGTATTTCCCATAGTATCCCACAAACTACTTTGTTTTGCTCTCTTAGCCCCTTTCATACTTGTTTCAACTCTTCTTCCTTCCCCATCTTGCCTGAAGCTGCATTGCTCAAATCTTTTCTTCTCTCTGCCTTTCATTCCATTTCCCTTATTTCTCTTCAGCCCCCAATCACTCTTTTTGCTAACTATATTCAAAATAAATGCCTCATGGTTCAACACTTTGTTGAAATAAAATTCCCATGGTGACTAAAAAGTTGTACCAAAAAAACACTTCATACAAACTAAAATTTTGTATGAAACAAGCTTTTGGTAGGAATGGATTACTAAAAAACTTAAACTTGATCTTCCAAATTGCTTTCTGTTAATAGTGTCAAAATCTATATTTGTTCTTCAGAAGTAGCAACAGTAGGCAAAACAAAAACAAACAAAAAAATATATTTGTTAATCCTTTTCTTGGTTCCTTAATAGGCCTGTCTCATCCAGATAGCAACAGCGATGATGACTTTCCTATTCTTAAACTCTTGCGCTGTGACAGGCACTCTGTGAAGGCCTTACCTCATTTATCCGAGAGCTTATGAAGTAGTTCCATTCTACCTTCAAGGAAACTGAGGCTTGTAGAGATTACACAGCTTGCTTCAGAGGGTGAATGTTGGATCTGAAATCAAAGCAAAGCCCATGTTCATAAACAAACATAACAGAGAGTGGGTAATGAAATAATTCCCAATGAACAGAAGAAAATCTTGGTCAAAGACTGAGTTATTTTAAACCATGTTTCAATGTGTCCAAGAACTACCCCCTACCCACCTAGAATTTCTATTTTCCATAAAGCATGTCATTATTGGTGTAACATATTTAACACCAGTGAAACCATTCCTATAACCTATAAAGCTTTTGGCAGTAAAAGTATCACTTCCACATATCTTGAGTCCAGTCATGGAAATAAGTGGTACCAAGCTCAGTGAAGAGATTTTCTTTATGTACTTCCTATTAGTATATTTAAAATGTGATACTAAATCATATTCCTTGGGTGGACATCTATTTATTTCACATTGTTTAGTTATATCTTGGCTTAGAGATAGAGGGTTAAATAATGTATTTCCTGGTTATTTATAGGTTTGACTACCTATAAAAGAAACTCCAAATAACAGTGACTGAAAGACAGAAGTTTATCCCTTTCTCATTTAAAAAAGTCTGATGAAGGAAGCTCAGAGCTGTTATGGTTTCATAGTTATCTGGCAACTTAGCTACTTCTAAATTTTCGTTTTACCTGTCCCATAATGGAGTTCTCATTCTCCTCATCTGAGGTGGTGTATTAGACCACCTTAGAGTGTAACAAATTACCACAGACTTGCTGATTTAAACCAACAGAAATGTATGCTCTCACAGTTCTGGAGGCCAGAGGTTTCTATAGTCAGTTTCACTGGGCCCAAACCAAGAAGGCTGTGTTCCTTCCAGAGGCTCTTAGGGAGAAGCCATTTCTTGCCTCTTTCAGCTTCTGGTGCTGTGGGCAATCCTTGTGGCGTGGCCACATTGTTCCAATCTCTGCCTCTGTGATCACACTACTGCCTCCTCTTCTGTCTGTGTCAAGACTCCCTCTGCTTTCCTCCTACAAGGATACATCTCATCACATTTAGGACCCACCTGGATGATCCAATACAATCTCCCTTTCTCAGGATCTTTAACCACCTGGCCAAATCCTTGTTTGCCACATCAAGTAACATTCACAAGTTCCAGGGACTGGAACCTGGACATTTTTTGATGGCAGAGGAAGGGGCATGTTTCAGGCCGCCACAATAGATATCTAGCCAATATATCCCTGTTCCAAGAAATAGGACAGGTGAAGGGGAGGAAAAGGGGCACATCCACATTCTTTAGAACATATTTCAAAAACTGCACACATAATTTCCCCTCTCACATTCCCTTAGCCTGAACTCAGTTACATGGTTACATTTAGCTGTGAGTTAGGTTGGGAATTAAAGTATTTAATTTATTTGTCATGATCTCAGCTTTACATAGAAGAAAAGCAGAACAGGTATAGGACAACTAGCAGTATCTGTTACCACCTGCCACCTTGGCCAACCAAATACCATATGCATCTTTCTTTTCACAAGCCCCTGCTACTCAGGGTATACTCACGAGGGTGTTATTCAAAGCCTAGCAAGTCTTGGATCTCTGATTGATGGGCACTCATCTCTAACAGGTACAAATATGGCTTCTCAACGTGGCCAGTCATCTGCCCCTACAGCAGCATACCTTGAGGCACCAAAAAACAAGGTAATCACAACAGAAAAACCTCCCATTTGGACAAAAGATCACGGAAAGCAGAGCAATCTTAGAAGTTATCCCATCCTGGGGAGCAGGAATAATGACAACTCTCTTCTTGTCAGTAGCATGAGTTCCTAGGTCATCCCAACTGAAAAACTGAAAATGCCTCCCAGTGGACCTTCCTGGTTCACTATCCTATATGGGTCATCTGAGGTGGACATTGGAGAAGGTGTGTTTTTTGGACCTGCCTAGCCTTTTTTTTTTTTTTTTTTTTGAGACAGAGTCTCGCTGTGTCAACCAGGCTGCAATGCAGTTGCACGATCTCGGCTCACTGCAACGTCCGCCTCCCGGGCTCAAGTGATTCTCCTGTCTCAGCCTCCCAAGAAGCTGGGATTACAGGCACCCACCACCACGCCCGGCTAATTTTTGTATTTTTAGTAGAGATGGGGTTTCACCATGTTGACCAGGCTGGTCTCAAACTCCTGATCTCAGATGATCCATCTGCCTAGGCCTCCCCAACTGCTGGGATTACATGCATGAGCCACTGCATCCGGCCCTGCCCAGCTTTTGTAGGCTGCCTTTTGCTGGTCCTGCTTTGGTGGCCAAGGGAATGCCTTGGGGGTTGAATAGGTTTTTGTTTTCTTAGTAATATAATTTTGTCAAACACCTAGTGGTCTTCCAGTTTATTTGCTTCAGGTCAGTTCCATGCATCAATAGTCACAGATAAAAATCTTGTGGAGTAAGAGTTTTCAAGACTGACGATAGAGACTTTAACTTATTACCTCTGGGCTCTGCCTAACCCCCTCCTCTCATGTTTCAGAGGGGCTCTCTTAAAGTCACTGAAACGAAGAGCTGGGGTGAGGACACAGCTCTCTTCACCTAATTTTTGCACTGAGCTGGCTCCCATTGTCTGTCAGAGAACTCTTAACTACAGGTGCTGGAAAAAGCTCAGAGGCACTGTTTTGTCTTCTGATAAATCTGACCCTTTGCACCCTTTACTTAGAATTGCTTCAATCTGTAGTACAAAGCAACTAGCTTTGTCAATTCCATAAGGTCCAAATAACTGACCGTTTAGTGTAACAATTAGGAATACAGACTTTGGGGCCAGATTGCTTAGCACAAACCAGGTTTCTCACTTATTAATTGTAAAACTGGCAAGCTCCTTAGCCTATCTGGTCTTCATCTATCTATAAAATACAGTTAAAAACAGTATATACTTCATTGTGTTTTTTGAGGAGTAAGTTGCTTAAAATACATAAAGCACTAGAATGGTGTCTGGCCCATAGTAAGCACTGTGTATGTGTAGTTAGCATGAACTTACTAATGTGATATTACTAGACTCTGTCAACTTGTATTGCAGGATGTAGTCTGATACTAGACTGATTAGCTCACACCTAAGTTTACTTCTTTTGTAGTCTCTGCTGAAGCACCGAGAAGTAACCAACATAAGACAACATCTTGAATTGTTTCTACAATTTTCCCTGATGCTATGACCATAGCATGTGGTCTGCTTTCCAAGTGATCCTAGTAATAGTTTCATCATATGTTTTTCCACAGCATAACAAGAGTTGCTAGCTTTTTGGCTTCTATTACCTGCACCCACAGCACCAATCTTTCAGGTTTTGCCATGGCCAACACTTTACTTTTAGGCATCAAATTCTGTATTCATTAGGCTTTATATTTGTTCATAACAGAGATCCAAAATACCTAAAGTGTAAGCCTGATGAATCTTCATTTCTTTTTGCATGAAAGTCTGGATTGAGGTAGTTTGGAGACAGTGTGATGATTCCACAGTCAGATCTGAGACACAGGTTGCCTCCAGTGTTCCATGTCGACATCACTAGGAGGCTTCCTTACTGTCACAGTTCAGAATGAAGAGCCAGGCATCACACCTACATCCAAGGAGGAGAAAGGGGAGAAAGGATATATTCCGGAAGTTGATCACACATACCCACATAACCAAAACTTGTCACTAGGCAATACCTAGCAAGGGAGTTTGGGAAATGAGGTCTTGATTTAGTGTCAGTGTGCCAAACCAAAGCTCAGGCTTTCTGCGATCACTGAAGAGAATGAGAACAGGCCCTAGAGAGACAACCAGAAGTCTCTGCCATTCACTGAAAATGGTTGTTTCTCTAGTAAACGCAATGTCTGTTGAAAGTAATGCATATCATGTAACCTACTCAATGTCTACTTTCCCTACTACAAAAAAGTAAAACCTCTGGGTGCATATGTATTCAACAAAAAATAAAATGAAACCCAGTAGCTTATATCAAATGAAAATTCTATCCTGGACTAGTTTTTATTTCTTAAAATACAGGAATTCCATTTCCTAGAATTGGGAATTAACTTTCATTTGTAGTTTTTAAAAATGAAGATCAAAATATTTGCATATGTGTAACATATGACTGGTATAGGCTTGTTTTATAGATAGAGTACCTATTTTAACCTATCAAAACACCTATTTTAACCCTTACATGCTTCTTCAACTTGTATATAGCAAAGTTATATTTTTAGAGGGTATAATGACCAAACTGTTTGAGCTGAAATGAAACACAGGATTTTCTATCATATTTGAACATAGAGAGGGAGTATGAAAGACTGCATATCTTCCATTAAAAAAATATTTGTCAGTCTCTCTTCATGAAGAAAAGAGGGAATTAAATAAGCAAAAATTCGATATTTGGGGTTTTATACCTGACACAAAACTTCAACCTTAGAAAAAATTACCAGTGAGCTAAAGAAGAATAAGCAATGTATACATGGTTTGTTTAATTCTTCATCAAACAACATTGCTGTATCTGTGCCTAAGTTTTATTTTATTTTTTTGGTTGGTTGGTTTTGTTTGGTTTTGTTTTGGGTGATGTTCAGCATTTTGTGTCCTGATGGGAATTTTAATGAACATAAAACAAAAGCACTGGTACCAAGCTGAGCCCAGCGGATGAATCAGGTAGGCGTGTATATTCACAGCACTGATTACTGACAATTTTCTTGTGTCACTGTGTCCCAAGTGTTGGTCAATCAGACATATTGCCAGATAGGCATATTTTTTAAAAACCCTGGCCACCTAAAAAAATACATATATAGACACATATTTCAGGGCTAGAGATTAAGCAAATTTTGTAAGAACACTATGCAAAGTCTGAGAACAAACATTCTGCATAGTGCTCTGTTTCAGACGCAATAGAAGTGGAAGCAGGAACCAGTCGAAGAAAGCATCTGCTCTGGACAGCAACTCTGACACACATCACTCGAGATAAAGTGCTTCCCTGCAGCCGTGAGGAATTAACCCTATGCTCTTGCAGTCAGCCCAGTTCCTAAATGGAGTAACAGCTAATTTATTTTTTTCCCTTCATCTTTACAATACTAATGTGGGAACAGGTGTTCAGAGTT